CATAGCATAGTCGCATATATTTGTATATGTACGCATGTTCCACATAATGTGCATATGTTTGTGCCAGATTATGGCTGTAGTACCAGACACCTTTGAAATTTGTGGGCACCAACACTCATGTAAGTGCCAATGTAATACTAGATAGATGTCATGTTAGCAACTTCCAAATTATATTTACATGCATGTGTGTACGAATGCACAGTTGCATATGTTTATATATGTACGCATGTCCACAAATGTGCATATGTTTGTGCCTTTGAGGATGTAGGTGGATGCACGCATAGTCGCATATATTTGTATATGTACGCATGTCCACATATGTGCATATGTTTGTGCCTTTGTGGATGTGGGTGGATGCATGGTTCATAAGGATGTACAATGTACATGTATGTGTTAGTGCATGACTATCATATGTTGGTGAATCACATAATTAATGAATGAACATATCTCAACTCCTGCATTTATAAGTTCTTATAAGTCGACAAGCTTTTACACCGAGTTTTGTGAACCATTACAATGAAGGGGTGCAAAAACTCATTGATGAAATAATACTATACAATCATTTCATCCCAATAATTCCTACAGCACAAAGAATTGATCCATCAAGGATGCACATGGCCATCCGCTTCATATAACACAGCTTATGGGCATGTTACATAAAGAAAGGGAAATACAACATTCAGGAGAATTGACCTCGAACTTACCTACCTAAAACGACGTTGATGCAGTTGATGTGCGCTGCTTATTTCCAAGCATAATTACAATGACTGTCACATCATCATGGTATTTTCTCCTCCTCCCGGCAGGAATTCTCATTAACTCTTCTATGCTAAAACCTGAATGAAACGTGTTTACATCAATTGAATTCGGAGGCAAAGGCACATAGAAAGTATAAAAAAATAAAGAAAAAAGTTTATATAAGGATGCTACCTTGTAATGTAGAACTACGGATGCCCCTCAAAAATCCATCGGAAAAGGTACTTTTAATATTGAAAAACCCTTTGATAGATCATCTCGACATCGAGATGTATGATTATTAAAAAATAAAAAGATTTTAAGTCTCAGAAATAGTGCATTTTACAACATATTATCTACACTGTCCATTTTCAAGATTTTCATATGTTTATAGATCTACTTGATTTTAACCATTTTTGAAATTTAAAATTTTATAATTAGATATAAAAATAGATTTTGAGATAATCCTAAGAACATTTTATATCAAAATTATATACCATGATAAAATTTGAATTTAAAGGTGCACCTTACCTCTACATATGGATGCGTCCATATGCAAATTGCACCCAAAGATAAATGTGGAAGTATCTATAATTATTTTGTGCATTGACGTCATCGCCGTCAAATGAAATGATGAGTAGTTATGGGAAGTGGATCCCATGAATGGGCCCATATCCTATTCTTGTGGGTTTCAGTCTCTCTCCCTCAACGTCCAATCGTTTCATTTCATGGTGATGACCCCAATGGACAATGGTTTTACATAGTCCATTGATTCATAATATTTACTTACCCAAGATAATGGTTTTCCATAGTCCATTGATTTATGCACCTATTGTTAGGTGTGCCCCGAAGTTTCCAATGTCCAATTTCTCTAGACGGTGTATGGTGCAAATGAATCATATCCGATTTTATTAGACAATCGCCTATTTTGAAAATCACACCAAATTTGCACCGTCCAATGAAATCGGACAGTGCAGATGATGGGACAATGGTTTTACATAGTCCATTGATTCATAATATTTACTTACCCAAGTTAATGGTTTTCCATAGTCCATTGATTTCTATGTTGGGTTCTGCACCTATTGTTAGGTGGGCCCCAAAGTTTGCACCTTCCAATTTCTCTAGACAGTGTACGGTGCAGATGAATCCTGCTCGATTTTATTAGATAGTCACCTATTTCAAAAATCACGCCAAATTTGCACCGTCCAATGAAATCGGACAGTACAGATGTTGGGACCGCACAACAAAATATATGTGGTCCTTTATAATATATACTTTCAAAATATAAACACAAAAAATGTACCTGCATTTTGAGCAGCTCTCAGTAAAAGTTGTTCAAGAAGGTATTTTGCCGGATCACCAAATGGGTTTTTCTCAATAAACTGGTGGACTAGCTCAACCACTTCATCGTTGCTGAAAAAATCAAATAATCCATCGCTCCCAATAACCACAAACAAATCACCGTCTGTAACTCTGTGGATCCCTATTGATGGATTAGCAGAAATATATGGTGGACTGCACAAATTGCGGACTCGAAGAATACCCATCAGAGCATCGTTCATTTTGCTCTGTTGAGAGAAGAAAACGTACATATGCATGATGCTTAAGATATATCATTGGGAGAAAAGCTGAAACCCTCTCAATAAACATCAAAGGGAATAACAAAAGGAAAGCATGTCATACACCAAGAGTGTATGATATGTGATATAGCATGGGAGCATCCACCATCCATTCTCGATGAAGGATCAACCATTCTTAAAATGATGGGAATTCATCTGTGCATGGTTAATATCCGCCATCAAATGAAAAGGTTATTGATTCTGTGTGGTGCATTATGTACCACCATACACCATCAGCACATGACATACCACACACCACTAGTGTAGGTATGCTTTCCCAAAAATTACAAAAATAAAAAATTTGGTTCACCTCTTTCAAATAACCCACACCAAAAGCGCGAGTAACCTTCAGCTTCCCTTTAACTCTTCCCCCAACGATTGTTGAGGCATCATCAGGATGTTCAGCCAATAACTTCATGCGCTCCTCATCATTCTCAACTGTATGGCTATCAGTAAGTTGAACAGATGTTACAGAACCATCCTCACTCTTTGCAAGCACAGCTCTGCTGTCCCCTATGTTCAGGGTGTACAAGTCATTTCCATGGAGGAGAACAACTAGCACACACGACCCAACAGAGACTAAATCAGGCCGATCCTCCATCTCCTGTTCCACCATGTACATAAAATCACTCTCAGCTTGAGAAATTGCTCGCCTTAGGCAATCGATTACACCATTTCGAAATGCCTCAGAAGAAATTTCACCATATAGAGATATTGGGAAAATGGGTTCGGTAAGTGAAGCTCCCAATTTGTTGAGCTTCAAAGGAATACTGGTGTCTTCTGGTAAACTATCAAGAGGAAGTTTTGAGGACAAAGGGGCAAGCGTCGACCCACCTTGTTGCTTTGTGCGCCATTCCAACAAATGCAAGTAAAACCCAATATTATCATATAGTGTCCCAGCGAGAAAATCAGCTGCATCTCGACCATTGAATCCATCATAGACACCACAGTAGAGCCACCCATTTTCTTCCGAGCAAACAGCTTGGACCCTATCTTCACCTGCAGCACCACCAGCCATTTGAACATCCATTGCATTGAGAAAACTTGAGGCTTCAAGCCTTGTTGGGGCACTCATGGGTTTCATCGATATACTCCTGTTGCTTTCGAGCATATCACTCTCAGTCGATATGGTCCCCCCTAAAGTGGATACACTGCTTTGTGAGGAGGAAAAGAATGGATCTAACCTTGAGAGGGATGAGGAGGAGGGCAACCTTCTAAATGATTTTGGAGAATCGAAACTAGGGAGTATTTCTTCAGCAATGAGACCATTACATATATTTGTGTTTGCCAACGTAGCATTGGCACTAAGGGCAGCCCCAGATAGGCAAGAAAATGAGCTACTCCTCTTCCCTATAGTTGAGTTTTGGCTATCTGGAACAGTTGAGATATCGATATCGTCATCAGAGGTATTCTGATTTAAACTACAATGGTAGCCAAAACTAACACTTAGTTCGCCAGTGGGCTCAAGGTTTTCATCAGAGCCTAGCATCTCTTGCATGGAAGATGGAGAAGAATAGGGAAGGGTTAGTGTTGATTAAGGTCAGACCTTTCTTCAACAGACACTTGAAGTCCCATATCATATCAAGAGGCAAAGTTTTAGACATTCAGAGAAAAGATAGATACTGCACCTGAAAGAAAGCATCAAATACAACAATCGTAAGTGTTTCATTTGGAAGTTATAACTTCCCTACATGAATCCTATGCATATCAGCAAAAGAAAACTTACATGTTAAATCTTAACTACATTCATAGGCACAGTATTCTTATATTCAAATTCTTTGCATCCTGAGAAGCAGTATCACATCCGAGTCATTTTGATTGTTACCTTGGCGCTTCAAACTAAAATCCTACTTAGTTCATATGGATATGATTATAATAATAAACAAATAACATTTGCCCATGAACCAAACATGAAGATACCTTGATACACAGTCACATCACATGTCCACGCCAACTCACACATGCTAAATATGTGCACATGTATGAATATCTATGCAATGGCCACACCAAGCATGCAATTGCCCTATGCATGCATATATCTATATAATATAATGGGTAAATAATATATACATGTATACACAGATGCACATGCAAGCACAACACTTATATATCTATATTTTATGGATATAGACCTATATATGCAGAGCATCATGAATAGAGAAATATAACCCAATGGTTACCAAACAATGCATCAAGAGAAGAATAAATTCCAGTTATCTCATGGAACACAATAAAATGGGATTTTAGAAGGGTTTGGTTGAATATTTCCAAGTAGATACTTTCTCATTACTGATCCACTCTCTCCAGCAATTATGAGACAAAAGAAAAAGTCCTCAGCCCTGGAAGGAATGGATAGCCTATGCCTGCATTTTTGGGTTGAGTTAGCGCTGAGCAAATGATGCATCACCTACATCTATTGTTTCTCTCCCATCTCAAGCTTGTGCTGTTTCAGTTTTGTACTGTGCTTTGATTTTGATGAAACACAATACCATGCAGAAAAAGCTAATAAGAAAACGAAATCCTGAGGTTGGATGGAGACGTACCTTAAATATGGTGGTTTTCCATGACCATTTGATCCCAGGTCTGGGATGTATGTTAAGCAATAAAACAAAGAGTTTGACTTTGACCTCAGACACATTCTTGCTGTTAAATTGTAGAAGAGGGCAATGAATGAGAGAGAGAGAGAGAGAGAGAGAGAGAGAGAGAAGCGAAAAAAATATGAGCAGATGGAAGTGAATGTGACATTTGTGAGCAGAGACTTTTCTTACTTCTTAATTGTGAAACAAGTCACCCTCCGAGTGTCAGAAAACCAGATTTTTCACTTCAAAAGAAGATGTAAGACTTCTACTTGACGAGCACCTTTCTCCATTTCATGAGTTCCCATCTGTAGCTCTCTTGCAGCAAAGTTAAAGAGCTCCAAAGCACCCAATGGAATAGCCCCAAAGGCTTAATCAAATGCAACAAGTCAACTATATCAAAAACCAACAAAAACCCATCAGAATTTGAGGGAATATTTCATCTGATTCTTCAAAATCTAGACAAAAAGTGCAAGTCCTTATGTGAAATGATTAAAAAAAATTGCATTTACCACTCTATCTACTACTTTGAAAGCTTCAATGAATGAAACCACTGAATATGTCCATTTAGTACACTACAAACTTCGACACATAATTTGGCATAGGAACAGAAACCACAACTTTGTTATATTGCATCCACCACTCCACCAAGAACTTACTTAAAATCTAATCAACAATCTTCATAAGATGGACAAAAATTAAAACCAAGTGTTTCAGATTGCAGAAACTTCTAACCCCATCTTAGGGCAAGAAGGATATATTAGCCATTTCTCTATCCCCAGAGTATTATTCAGCCCGGAACTTGATATTCCTAATATTACTTTCCATTTCATTAGTTTCTCCTGTTTGAAGGAAAAAAAACTCGCAGAGCTTGAATCTATCCATGACTCGCTGTTGGGATTGGGTGAACATCGAGCCAAGTCTGAATCTTAAAGCTCTGTTCTTAATTTCTTGACACATGAAAAGACTTCCCAGAACCTCATATATTTCCCTTCACAACTCCAAAGAAACTCTACAATCACATTTCATGGGGAAACTTTGTGCTTGAACCTTTAAATGCAACCTAAATCCCAAGCCTTCTTACTGGGCTACCAGTGGACCCCCCTTCAAAGAATGAATCACAGAGGCCCACACATGAACTGAGGACCCCGCTCTATGTCAGGAGCTATAAATCACTAAATCCCCATCCATTGATAGTAAAAACGAAAAGATCATAATTTTGAAATAAATTTGTAGGAAAATTTTCGGTTTAATTATGCGCACCAAACAAATGGTACACAGCATTGCCCCAACAGAACTAATTGGACTAATACTTATAAGGCAACTAAGATAGCATAAGTGGACATAACCACTCAAAGTGCAACTGCAACTTAATACCATCCACCATGAAGTCCCATGGTCATGAGTCAATTCAATTTCAACCTCTTTTCTTTCATCCTTGGTATCAATAAAGTCAACAAGTTAGATATCCTATCCTGTTCAAGAGATGATTAATATGCCAAGACTGCATGGATCTCCAAGAAGCATTGAAAAGTCCTGGTATGAAGACGAAAGAGTGTCACATTTTTTCCTAAACAAATGCTCAACAACCCCACAATATTTTCAATGGGAATAACTATGAGATCCAAAAGTGCAAGTAAATCAAATAACTGAACCATATGATGGGTTCAATCACCATAGCCTGGTAATATTGCTTAAGTCATCAGGTAGAGCCCATGCTTTCAAACTCCGAAAAATAAGAACGTCTAGTATATCCATTTAGAATATGTAATATCCCTTAGGACAACCGGTGATAAAGTGGATACTTATTACTGTATAATTAACCACGAAATATATAACATCATAGCACTAAAACAGACCCAGTGTTGTCCCATGGCCTTTTGGTCCCGAGTCATGATACTAGTTGCAGGAGGGGATCAAAAGACTGAAACTTAAAGGTTTTCCAAAACCAAGCAAACCACAATTTCAGTGTCTACTTCTGTATCGAAATCCTATTTCAACATATAACAGTGAATAATCACATAACCTATTATTGGATAACCTAGCGCAATCACACAACTTGGCCAGTGAGAAAGCAAGCATTGCCATCTATTTATAGGAACTTTACACGGTTTTGTTAACTTAGTTGCACTTACTGTTAAAGACCTTAGTTTGCTAACTCATGCATGTAACATGATCAACTTATGAATGATAAGCTGTTGGACAACAGTACTGTACCATAATTCTAGGAATGATACATCTTAGGTAACTGAATCACAAAAACCTAATTGAACTATTGTACTCTAATTCTACATGAACACAAAAGGAATGTAATACAGATGATTTCTATCAAGCCAAAGGCATAGAAATCGGTTTGAAAAGCTTTTCAAAACTTACGGAGTCCTCCTGACAAAACCCTGAACAATTTTAGACCCTAAACTCGCTTAAATTTAAGAATATCCGGAGAAACTTCTCCCTGAGTTTTGCTGAAATTTCCCACATAGTCCTGAAAATTGCAATAGACAACCAGCAACTCAATCCAGGTCTAATCAAAACTTCAAAAAGCATGCAGCAAGTTCATGAGCAAATTAAGATAAGGCATGAACTCGTTATTAAACTCTAAACCTAAAACAGGATCACCATTCAATAATTCATCGCATCTCAGCCATCAAAATGATGGCAGAGAAACAAAGCAATTGATCTCTCATTTCAACCATAAAAAAGAACAAGGAAACAAACAATCCATCTCTAATTTTAACCATTAAAACGAACCCAAAAACAAACATTTGATTTAGTAGTGCATCCATAAAAATGAACCGGAAGAAAAACAATCAAAGCTCATCTCCTCCACCAAAAAGCTCCAGAAAAAAAAGAAAAAAGGTCCAAACTGAGCTCCTAAACATTTAAATGAACCACAAAACCCTAATTTACTTCATTCCTCCGCTAAAATTGACCACGAATCCATCTTTACCATAAACAACAACAATCATTAAGATCATTCACTACCAATCTATCAAAAAACAGAGTTAAAAAGCTATAAATTCAAAAGACAAGAACATTTTACGCAAAGAAAAACAATTTATGGTCACTCACATGAGGCAGGCCTGAAGAGAGAAAAAACAAAGGCAGTGTTTAGAGAGAGAGAGAGAGAATGGTCTCTAAATTAAATACAAATAAATTATCGAAACACCGTTTCTTCGTATCGCCATATAACGAGTTCTCTCTCCCCAAGTTGACCAGACACGAAGACAATTACTATTTACGGTTAAATATCATTAAAACCGTAAGCCATCGCAAAAAAAGGATGCTTAAATTAAAAAAAGATGCTTAAATTGAAATTTTATCTACAAAGTGGTTAAGTTGAAATTATCTTCATTTGGGTACGTCTTCAATAACTTTTACTAAGATTGTCCAACTATCTATGTTCTATGCGTGTAACCCTCAACAAGCAAAAGTATTTTTATCGGCAACTAAATCACCGAGAGCAAAATAATATCAATGTACTTGCTTGTTCATACTTTCAAAACTAGAACATGTATTTTGTTCAAAATTTCATAGGGGCAGTTATTAAGCATTTTTCTAGTATGTGAGGTTTGCATAAGATGCCCATCTTGTACCATACAGGTACATCTCTAAATTTGTTGGAACATATAATTATGGATTTGGAAAATAAAATTTTAAATTTCAAAAATTGTGTAGATCAAACAAATCTATAAACTTGAAAATCTTGAAAATAAACGATCAGATAGATTGTTATAAGATGCAATATTTTTATTACTCAATATTATTATTATTTTCAATATCTATAATTCCATACATCTTGAGCTTGATATGATTAATTATCGGAAGGTTTCCAACTTTGGAACACTACTGAATTTTGAGGTGCACATTATTTTATATAATATATGGTTGCAACCTTGTATAAACTTTTTTCTTTACTAATTTACCTTTACTTAAGTCATTTGAGCCAAAACATTCATGTCTTATTACAAATAGGGAACCACACATTTTTTAGGGGAAAAATCATATTTTGGTTATGATATATGGAAAATAATAATAGGTTAATTATTGGCTAAGTCATCACTTGTTCTAAGTTTCAAACATATGACATAATACTTGCGAAAAAAATAGCGAATGATACCTTCCCAAATTGATTTTAAAAAATAACCCAACTTTGTCAATAAATTGGTTGATGTAGCTGTCTCATCGATTTTAAATCTTTTAGTGGTTTGATATTCTCTCTTTAAGTTCCATGGTCCCTTAGTAATCGGTTATTTTTATTTTGAGGTGAAATAATTTTGGGACCTTAGAAAAGTGCAAAAGGGCGCCATCCATGTTCGAGGCGACTCGAGGACCATATCGTAATGAAAACCAAGTGGAGAGTAGAGACAAATTAAAAATTTATTAAATACATAGGGCAACATTTGTACCCCCGAAAAGAAGAAGTTTATATAAGGGCGAAGCCCTAAACAATCAAATTAGGGGTCACCCAAAAAATTCACTAAAAGAAGTTGTTTGGATGCCCAAAAATTTTCAAATTGATCATCTTGAACTCAAGATGTATATATATGAGAATAAATGGATTTCAAGTATTGAAAATAGTGTGTCTTGCGATGCATTTTCGAACCATTTAATTTCCAAGTGTTCATAGATCTACTGGATCTATAATATTTTCAAAACTTTAAATTCTACAAGTAGGTATGAAAATAAATTTTTAAGCCGACCTTAGCCTTACACAAACCACACCCGAAAAAAGTAGGCCTTCATTTTTACCCATTTTTATTGTCCCAATGGTAGAAAAAGCGAACATAAGGGAGAGAGGAGGGCAAAATTGTGTTAACACCCTTGTTTTGGGTGGTAATAGCAAGTAGGCGAATGAGAAATTGGCCATTATATTTAAGTGAACAGTATGATTCCGTGTGGAGCACGAAATCTTTTAGCATAATTGAATTGAAAAAGGTCCAATAAAATAAGGGATAGACGACGAAAAGGCCCTCGGCTTAGGCGATCCACGCGCGAGGGTGATTGTTTCCACTGGACACGTGGCAACAAAGCCTTGGTTGGATAACGTCTGTAATGTGGTCCCCACAAAAGACTCGGTCTTCTAAGGCTGACGTGGACTCATTGCAGGTGTCATTGTTGCCTCCACTTGTGAAAGAGGCCCCTCCCACGGGAGATCTCATGGCTGATCTCATGCGTTCTTGACTCGTTTCACAAAAGGATATAAAAAAGGAATTTTAAATTGTAAAAATAATACATTTTACAATTTAAATATTTTCGATCTTTATTTATTTGGGAGCTTCCAACTTCCTATTTTAGAAAAAGGATAGATTTTTAGATCATCACAATTACTATTGTTTTGACCTTTTCGACACCACAAGTGTATCTTCCAGCTAATTTTAGAAATGTGACTTACTTTGATTGTTTATATTTGACGTCTTATATAAACTACGGAAAATTGCTCCATGGGGGCTAGACTGCATTTCTATACATGCGATCCAAAAAGTGTAAAACATCTCTCTTAAAGATAGATGCAAGTAGGTGTTTCATCTAAAAATAATGAATACTAATGGTCCAAATGTTTTATTACTAGATTATTATTTTTAGTTTTTTTAAATTTATTTAATTTTTCATATTCATGATTTGCATGTTAGAGATTACATGTCTTTAAAAATTAAGTCTTAAAATCCATCTAAAAAATAAGTTTATTAAGAGACCCACATTTCTACATATGCGGGCTTGGCCACATAAAAACTGGATCCATAAACTACACACGAATATAAAAGAAAGGGAAAAACCGGGTCCATAAACTACGCACTAATATAAAAGAAAGGGAAAGTATACAATAAGACCGTTTGTCTTGAATATGAGAAGATCAAAATTACCCCTAACCAACAAATGTCTAATAGGGCAGTTGGGTTGTACTCTGAATTGCGCTCAGACTTTGGAAAAAAAATTAAAAGGAAATTTTATGTACATACCGGGAAACAAAGGCATATTTATTTTATGATCCATATTTTCCCAATTTTACACCCAGGTTCAATATTTTTCTACTTTGTTTACTTCAATTTGGTCCTCAATTTGATATTTAGCAACATATTATTGTCACCTCTAAGAGCGATGCAGCTCTAAAAAAATTGAACTGCGCCATATCTGGTGTTTGTCTGTGGGAAAAATTGCATCCGTGAGATAAATAAAACACGGAATTATGTGGAGGTCCAATTTTTTTTGGCAATTTTTACATGGAGGTTTATTTTCTAATTTTGCCGCTCTGTGCGGTATAATACCTTATTAGATTATTGTGCACAAATACAACCACTCTCAATCATTTCAAGTCACTGGCAAGAACATTGCAAACGAGAACACAGAAAATGGATAAAAATCCATTGAAACTCAAGGAATCAATAACAAAAACGGATACTTTTATGAAAGTCTATGGCTCCAAATCTTGAGCATTCTCTTTTCTCTATCACTACCTCTATCAAGTGAATCTTAGAGTACTCTCTGGTTTATATATACCTGTCTACTATTCAGGCAAATATCATCACCTATTTTCATTAAGGAACTGCAATAAACCTCTGAAACAAGAATCAACCAGAGAGGACCTGCCCTAGTTTTGTTTTGAACACCGGGGCCTTGGACAATATAAATAAAATAATAGTAAAAGAAAAAAAGAAAAAAAAAAGGGTGCAATTTGTATAAAGCCGAGGCTCTAAACAATCAAAGTAAATCGTACCTTTAAATAGTGTCGATAAATGTGGTTTCAATGCTGGAAATATTTGTGATAGCCTTAAAATATATTTTCTCTCTAAGTATAAAATTTAAAGCTTAAAAAATAATGTAGATCGAGCAGATCTATCAAAACTTGAAAATTGACAGCGCAAAAAATACATTACAATATGCACTATTCCAAAAAAAAGGATCTATTTTATGAGGATTCATAGGGGCTGATCTACCGGCCGATAGGTTCTTAAATACTAATTCAAGATGACAAGAACAAAAACCAACTTAATAAGAAAAGAAAAGTATAAAATGAGACCATTTACCTTTGGTATTAGGCGATCACGTTAGTCTTGACCATTGGATGTAAAATTGGGTAGCTGCAATTATTCTATTGACCAAGCTCAAACTTCAAAATAAATTCAAACTTTGTAGCACATCGAAATTATCAAATTTCACATCGAATAGTTGTAAGTAATTGAGACCACCTTGTATAAAAATAAAAGGTAAATGGTCTCATTGTATGCAATCACAATAGGAAAATTAAATAGGGTGGAGAGGGGGGGGGGGGGATTTGATATCGGTTTCATGAAGCGTTCTTTTTAATGCCAAGGGGGAAGCCAAATCAAATTCATCATAGAGATTTTTTTTGTTTTTTTTGGCTAAATCGTTAGTGATTGATGAGCCCCTACCGTTGTTTAAATCGTTAGTGATTGATTAGCCCCTACCCGTTGTTTAAATCATTAGTAATTTTTTAATACGTTAGGTGAAAAGGGAAGCCTAAATCTTAGTTGAAGCACAAGTGGTACTACCGTCACGATCCCAACCCCAACCCTATTTTTAGGCAGAAAAAGTAAGAGAGAGAACATGTGGTTTCCTATTTAAGGGTGACAACAGGTCGGGTTGGGTCTGGGTCCGACTAGACCTGACTTGGACTCGAAAAAATGATATGGGAATCAGATTCGAATCCAAACCAAAAATCAAAATATCTATATGTTTAACTATATTTAAATATATTGAGACTGAAAAAATAACATCAGACCTAGACCCAAAGCTGGACTTGACCGATCCGAGGTCCGAGTAGTAATAAGATCCAAAATTTGGACTCGGACTAGACCCGTCGGATCCAATTTTTAAACCCATAACCAGACCTGGTTCAGGTCTACCCTCAAGTCCGGGCCCATTGCCACCCCTAGGGTTTGCAAACCAATTAACCGTGCATTCCATGGTTGGTGTGGGAGTGGAACAGAGATTAATCCATGTGAGTACGTGACCATTGAAAATCGAGGACTTGTGTAGCCAGTCCACGGATGGGGAGAGATAGCACTTTTAGAGAGAAGAAGGACACCTTCATTTTGAGCGGTTAGGCCCATCACTGTTCCCGCCAAAAAGCCTCCATCAAAATGTTGTGCTGCACTGTGAAACCCCCTTCAATCCCCACTTTCTCTCACGACCATTTTCTCTCTCCTCAAAGCTCGAACCCCAGTTTCTCTCACTACCAAGCTCTCTCTCTCCTCCAAAAATGCTCAACCTCAAACCATCTCCTCCAAATCCATGCCCACCTCTTCAGAACAGGCCTCCACCGAGATTACATCCTCATAACAAAGCTCATCAACCTGTGCTCAATTCACCAAAAAATAGATCATGCAACCTTGGTTTTCAACCAAATAGAAAACCCATTAACCTTTACATGGAACACCATGATAAGGGCCTATTTCAAATCAAATTATCCAGAAGAAGCTATTCTCATGTACAATCTGATGGTTATTCATGGCTTTTTACCGGACAAATTCACCTACCCATTTGTTATCAAGGCCTGCGTCGCCTTCTCTTCTCTTGAAAAGGGTAAAGAGATTCATGGCCGAGCCATTAAAGCTGGTATGGTTCCTGATATCTTCTTACAAAACACCCTAATGGAGTTGTACATGAAATGCAATGAGAAAACTTTGGCCCACAAATTGTTTGATAAAATGTCTGTGAAAAGTGTAGTTTCATGGACTACCATGGTTGCTGGGCTGGTCTCTCATGGTGATATGGCCTCTGCCCGCAGAGTGTTCGATGAAATGCCCGAGAGAAATGTAGTTTCGTGGACCGCCATGATCCATGGCTATGTGCGTAATAACCAGCCCCACGAAGCCTTAGAATTATTCATCTTAATGCTAAGAGCCAATGTGAGACCAAATGAGTTCACGATTGTTAGCCTTCTCCTTGTCTGTACGAGCCTTAATAGCTTGAGATTGGGGAGGTGGGTTCATGAGTTTATGGCAAAGAGTGGGTTCGAGTTATCGGTTTATTTAGGCACAGCTCTTATAGATATGTATAGCAATTGTGGCAGCATTAATGATGCGAAAAATGTGTTTGATGGGATGAGCGAGAGAAGCGTCGCAACATGGAACTCGATGATCACCAGCTTGGGGGTTCATGGAAAGGGCAAAGAGGCGCTCAATGTTTTTGGAGCGATGGAGAAAGGGAAAGTGAGGCCTGATGACATTACATTTGTGGGTGTGTTGTGTGCTTGTGTTAACATGGGGCTGGTAGAAGAAGGTGGTGTATACTTTGATTCTATGTACAGTGTGTATGGAATTGTGCCCACTTTGGAGCACTGTAGGTGTATGGTTGAGCTTGTGGAGCTTGGGAGGAACAATGATGGGGTTTTAGTGGAGAAAGGGATCATCTCAACCTTATGCTAAAGAGGACGGTGGGGATTGGCCAGTACTATACACACCATAGACAATTATACATTGTGTATAGCAATGTTACCTGGGCATGGACACGGCTGTTTGAGTCCGGTGCATGTCTTTAAGTGTTAGATGTGCTGGACTCAAACCAAGATATAGGAAGACACGCTTATACGACGAATATTTGATTATAAAGCAATAGATTTCTAATGTGCATATAATTAGAAATTATATTCGTTCCATTTATATGTGGTTGGTGAAGTGATATACCAGATATACATCACAAAATGCAACATGAACACCGAGGAATGAGTGTGGTGGTGCAACATGAACACTTGGTTGAAGTTGTGGAGCAAGGATTTTGGGACTTGAATGCTTTTAGAGGGAAAGGTGGGCAAGGGGAGGAGGGTAGAAGTTGTGGAGCATGGATTTGGGGACTTCAATGCTTTCAGTGTTGAAAAACTTGAGGGCAGAGATGGACCCATTTTTAGGATTAGGGGCAGTGTCGTGAGACTATCGATCGTAAAGATCAGGCTTTTATCTGAATTGTGAGAACTCTGTAAATTTTTTTGTAACTCTCCATGGCCATGAAACCCTTCTTAAAGAGCGATGGAGGGATGGAGGGGGCGTTCTTCAACATTCAGCTCCCTCCTGAATCTCTGAAGAAACGTGACCTTGTAATCCTATAATCTTGGAAAGTGGGTGGTCACTTTCTAGCCGTTAAATAACGGTACTTTCTCTATCTAAGAACTTCTTTTTTAGTGATAAGCATTAAATTATAAGAGAGAGAAATATTATACGTTTAAAGGCCTCATGGCTACACACGTACCAACATCTCTCATGTGGTTATGAGGGCCGGATATATTAAAATAGTATAAAGTCTTTATCATTTAATGAATTTAACATTTATGTGTAAATTTTTTTGTTTTTTGAACTGTTAGGTATTATCTAAAAATTTAAAATGACAAAAATAGACACATAAATGTTAAATTCATTAAGTGATAAAGATTTTATGATATTTCAATATATCTCGCCCTCATAGCCAAGTGAGAGATATTGATATGTGTGTGGCCATGGAGCGTTTAAACGTGTAATATTTCTCTCTCTTATCATTTAACGCTTATCACTCCAAAAGGGGGGCTTATTAGAGAGAGAAAATATCGTTATCTAATGCTAGAAAGTAACCACCCACTTCCCAAGATTACAGAGCTACGTTTTCTCAAAGATTTCAGGAGGAAGCCGAACGTTGGAGAACGCCCCCTCCGATTTCAAGAAGAAGCCGATTATTGGAGAATGACCTCCTTCATCCTTTTTAAAAAGGGTTTCATGGCCATAGAGGTACACATAAATTTTCAGAGTTCTCACATTTTTGGTAAAAGTCTGATCACACATTTCTGGTAACAGCATGATCTTTGCGATCAATATTCTCACGACACTGGCCCTAATGATAGGAGTGGGTCCATCTCTTCCCTTAAGTTTTTCAACATTGGTATCAGAGCGAGTTGTGGAAGTGTGGTGGGCTCGTAACCTACCGTTTCTAGGTTCCATTATTCATTTATTTATTTTTTATTTAATTTTTGCTCATAACCCACAGGTCACAAGATCGAAATCGATTATTTGATTTCATGTGAGTTTGTATTTTATTGAACAATAGCTCTTTTAATTGATTTTTTTTCAATTCTCTATTTACTCTATTGAAATTTGTCATCTCTGAAAAAGTTGATTTCATAAGCGGTGAGTCAATTATTATTTATTCGCTATTTTCTCTAAGATAATTGTTCCATTGTTGGGTTTATCTTATTGTTGTAAAAATTACCTGAAATCCTTTGATATCAATCTGTTGCTATTTTCTCTCATAAATTATTATACCTTTGCAAGTTAATAGGCGTACTTTGTTAAAGCAACAAAAGTAGATACACTTTGATTTAAACCATATGCACTTTTGATATACACACTTTGTAAATAGGAGATTTCTATTGAAAGGTAGAGAGAAACAAATCACATATTTTTTATTCTCTCTTTGGCCTTTATTTCTTGCTCATCATCAAGGTAACATTTTTTTTAATGCTGATTTTTTTTTTTTTTTGTGCCACTGTGTAGCCAGTATTTTTTTTGAGGTGAACTTTTTCAATAGAAATCGTTGTTAATGGTTATAAAAATAAAAATAAAAATAAATAAATAAAAAGTTGCTGAAATTTTAGAGAGAAAAAGATAAACACACACATAATTGTTGAAAATCAGTTGGCTGCACCTTTCTTTCTTCTATATTTTATTGTTGAAAATGAGTGCATAATTTTATTGGATTATTGAAAATTGTTATGCACACAACAACTATTCAAGTAAAAGTTGTCATATCAATTGCATGCATTTTTTTTTTTTTGTGGCTTATAATTTTAGGATTTACTACATATTTTATTTGCATAATAATTGTTAGTGCATTGCATAATTATCCTATGCTTGGGTCCGTTTTAAGTTAGAAAATTTCATGATCTTGATTTTGTGAATTCATTATTTTTATGATTATGCAATGCCATATATTTGTTGAAAATATCAAAACATCATTGTGGACTCTCTCTCTCTTGTGCTAAAACATATTCATATATTTATGAAACTTATTTTTATGCAAGATTTGTCATAAAGTAGTTGTTGCCTTACTTTATTAATTTTTTGTTGCATCACAGCAGTGTGAACATAAACTGTTTGAGAAATTGTTTTTTGAGGTCTCAGCTCACTAAGAGTCGGCAAACCTATTGAGTTAACTAGCAGACAACCCTTTCTTAAACACAATTAAATTTTTTTTTTTTTGAACTTTTAGGTATTATCTAAAAATTTAAAATGGCATCTAGGCTAGTCATGTTAGAACTATCCAAACTTGAAAAACTCAATGGTACCAATTTTTCTATGTGGAAAAGAAAATTTGGATATATTCTTTTTCAAGATAGGGTAGATTATGTCTTACAAACAGAACTACCAGTTTTAGAGCCTAATGCTAATGGTCAAGCTAGAAGACGACTTGAAAAGTGGTTAGAAGATGACAAAGTAGCTAGGACTACTATGTTGAGTTTTATGGAAGATGATTTAATTAGAGTATTTGAGGATTACACCATAGCTCAAAGTATGATGGACTCCCTATCTGGAAAGTATGAGACTACTTTTGAGACCCATGTACAATTGTTGTTAGAAAAATACAATTCTTGCATAATGCAAGAAACAGACTCAATGACCGAGCATGTCATATAAAATGACAGTGCTCGCAAAGGATCTTGCTGCAGTTGGAAATCCTGTCCCTGATCGCATGCAAGTATCCATTGTCTTTAATAGTCTCCTTCCATCTTGGGAGTTTGTTGTAATTGCATTGAACCATTCTGCATAAGGGATGACCATGTTAAATCTTCCCATGCATCTTAGTATAAAAGCTGTGAGAAAAATGAGGAAGAAATCAAATGAGCTCCACTGTGCCTAAAGTTCATCTTCTTAGATCCTCAAGAAACCTGTCAATTATCAGAAAAATAATAGGTATAAGGGAAATGAGAGAAATTTTAAAAATCAAAAGAATAAGGTTGAAAATGCCTGTTTTTATTGTAAAGAAATTGGGCACATCAAGTTTAATTGTCCTAAGTCGAAAAATAAAAATAGGAACCAAAATAACAATCATGTTCAAAATAATCAATAAGATAAAGGACTTGATATGCGTAGTCCTAGAATCAATAGTTACCGATCTTGACCTAAGAAATTGGTGGGTCGACTCAGCCTCCACTCGACATGTCTCGATGACCAACGATAGATTCACAAAATTGAAAGAGATTGCAGCCGGTAACCAGCATATTTATATGGGAAATGACACCTATTGCGATGTACTAGGTGTTTGTACTTTCAAGCTGTGTTTATTGGGTTCATGTGGCCTTTAAAGGCCTCATGAGTGCTTGTAAAATGAAATGATATAGTGGAACATGAATTCAGTAGGAGTGTGGTCCCTCGTGGACCATACTAAGCAAACAATGGTTTGCTGATATCGATCTGTACTTAACGATCTAGGCCAGTCGGTTGGAAAAAACCCCTGTTACCTAGGCATGAAGAACAAAACGATGAGGGTTTTTGAGTTAGCCCTTGATGAAGTCGAAAAACATGCCCGGATGAGTGAGTCGAGGGTCTGTGTGACCCTTGTGTGTGATGGTAGCCTGCAGAGACAGGGGTCAAAACCTCATCCATATACCATCACACGACATCCATATCGATAGATCATTAAGAAAAAGCTAGAAATCCACCTTTTAGGGTAAAGCGTATGCATGTGCGAGAAATACCTCTATGCACCATAAGAGCTATAGTCGCATCAGGTCTAGGTGACCTTAACTCCTGTCTATGGGAGGTCCTGAAATCTACAGACTGGGATTGCGATCCCTTGGCTCATCGGGCGGACTTTGGTGACCCGCTAATAAGCCCCTACTTGTACTGTGGGTCATGAGAAACACTAGGTCGGTCTGATAAAGCAAGTGTGGTCTGTAGTACACAGTTGAAGGTGGAGTGCCTCATGATTGTTGATTCCTAAACTATATGGATCATTTTCGCATCAAATTAATTGAATTGTGTTTGTTTTATGATGGAAATTATTTTAAGATTATTATTTGAATTTTTATAAACCCCTAGATATTTTATTTATAATTTTTTTATTTATAAGATTAAATATATTGATTTTACAATTATTTAAATATTCAAATAATATTCTAAAATCTTTTTATTAATTTTAAATATATAAAAATATCATGATGGCCCATTGTGCACATGGGCCCGCCATATTTTTAGAAGGTGGGGCCCATGAGTGCCTCCCTTGGGTGGCGCGCCCCACCCTTATTCTCTTTCTTAATTTTTTGGTAAAATGACATGTGGCCATATGGTTGGAAGATATTAACTAAATATTGATTTGATATATCTTTGAAAGATTTTATGGAAAGATTGAGTAGACTTGTGCTATTTTATAGTATGTACAATATTTTGATTAGATTTAATTTATTTAATTTCTATTGATGAGAAAATGGTTTAGGAAATGGGGATAATAGTGTATGTACCTTCTATAATGTTGATGGCCCATCTATGGAATGGGTGGCCCAGATCTCTCACCCCACAAGTCACCCTTGATCGACGGTTTATGTTCAATCTCACAATAAGAGGTAAGCTAAGAAAAACCATAATAAACCATAATCTTATTCAAAGCCCATAAAAAAAGATTGTCTCTACCAAAAAATCTCTACACCTTATCTTTCTATCTCTCTCTCTTAAGAAAGTTTATCTCTCTCATGTTTGATCTCTTTCTTCCACATTGTGAAAGAACCTAAGGGTTTAGGTTATGGAGTTCTTCTCTCATATCTCTCAAATATGAATTTATGACTAAGGGTTTTAGGGTTTAGCAAAAAGAAAATCTATCTCTCTCAAACTAGATTGCTAAGAGAATTCACCTAGAGTTTGAGTTTATGATCAAAGAGGTTCATGTTTCATTGGTGTGGCCTGGCCAAAATTTGCTTTTTCGGTTCGAGATTGAAACTAGACCGTTGATCCCGCGCTATCGGATGGTGGTGACTCGGTGTGGGGTGTAATAAGCTCGGTTGAGGTAATCTATATCACTCTTCATTTTGTTTCTTGCAATCTTATCTCTTATTCTCAAGCATAGTGCATAGTTGTTTCAATGGCATCAAGTTGTTAAGATTTTGATTTTATTGTATGCTGATTTTATTTTGAAATTTATCTTAT